ATTAATAAAATAAGATTAAATTGTTAGTAATTAAAAAATTTGGTTATTATTAATAAAATTTTAATAATAGGAATAGTTTTTAAATAGATTGGTTAGATTTAAAATCTCTAAGGTTTTAAATATTATAAAATTAGTTTATAACATTTATAATTTAAGTTTTTATAAAATAATTAATAAAAGATTTATTATTTTAACTATTTAAAATAGGTAGATAAGAAAAAAAACCATAGGATAAATTAGTTATAATTTTTAAAATAAAAATATAATATAATATTATATTAAAAGCCTTTAAACCGTTAATAAAATAAAATTATTAAATATTAAAAATTATAATAAATAAAAAGTTAAAATTATATTAATAAAGAAAATGAAATCTTTTTAATTTATATAAATAAGAAATAAGTTAAATTATTTTATTTATGTTATTATTATTATAATCTCATTACATAATTTTATTAATTTTATAAAATTAAAAAAGAGATTATATAATAATTTATTTTATATAAACGTTAAAAAATATAATTATATATTTTAATTTATTTAAAATTCTTAATTAATTATTACTTAAACTATTAATAATAACGTAATAAATAATAGATTTAAATATATTAAAAATATAAATATATTAAAATTAAATTTTGTTGGAATATAAGGAATAGCCAATTATGTAAGCTAGTCACGTGCCACCACGTGCGTGGGGCTAAGCCTAAAAGGGTTTACCTTTTAAGCTAACCCACATATATATAATTTAATAACAAGTAATAATAAATCGTAATAGCTTTATTTTAATACCGTATATTCCTTTTTCTTTATTATACACTTATTGGTATATACTTAATCCTTACCTAATTATTATTTTATATTTAATTTTTCTTATATTAATTAATAGTTAAAAAATTATAGATTAACAAAGAAAAAAAAAAGCAAAAACGGTATTAAATCTTTTACATCTTTAAAAAGGCCGAAAAAAACGTATATCGTATAGTTTTTAACAAGAAAAAATAGTAGACCTTTATTTAAATACTATATTACCTTAAAATCTTAAAACTTTTAATTAAATTAAAAGATTTGCGTTTATTATATAATTATATAACCTTATTATATTTATTAAAATGGCTTTAATATGGAATAAATATATTAATAATAATATTTTAAATAAAAACCTTATAATATTTAATAAAGTTACGGTATAATAAATTAATACCTACTATATCAAAACCTTTATAATATTTAAGGATATTATATGTAATAATAAGTTTTAAGAAACTTTTATATTAAAATTTAAAAAATAAAAAATAAGATATTTTTAAAAGGTTAATCGTACGTTTTAAAAGTTTATAATAAATTATTTATTATATTACAGGGTTTATTATAATCAAACTAAATTTACCCCTAAAATATTAAAAATAATAACTAACATAAACAAATTCTTAATATTCTTAATAAATAAACACATATATCTTTTAGAATACCATCTTAATAATTTTATTTTAATAACTAATCCTTTCTATATCGATAAACTACACAAGGCTATGTTACAAAGGCCCTGGGTACAGGCAGTACAGCCTAACCCACCAGTAACAACAGTCCCGATATCACGAGAAACACCAGTCCCGATATCACGAGAAACGACCCCGGAGCCGATCCTACAAGCACAGCCGATATTACCAGTGACACCGGAGCCGATATCACAGGAGGCACAGCCGATCCCACAAGCACAGCCGATCCCACAGGCAGCCCCCGATAAGCCTATTACATATAAACGGCCAATGAGATCACCCCAAGGCGTTACAGGCTATGTTGAGACATACAACGATGAGTACAACGAGGATGAAAGGTATGGCCCAAGCGATGGCATACCGGATAAGGAGATCAACATCGTAAAAGATCTTCATTACAGGGCTGGGATTGGTTGAAAATAACCTCAAATCAACCAAAACAGCCTCGTCCCCAGCCTGACGATATCAACCTCGATAACCTCGTCCCCAAGCCTGACGATATCAACCTCGATAGCCTCATCCCCAGCCTGATGAGTCGACCACCCTTACCCCGATATCACGATACCCGACCACTTTAGCCTACCCAAACCTCTACGATGTTATTGATTACGATACCACAATACCCCGATAGCCCTAGCCAGCCCTAGCCAGCCCTAGCCCTGGCCCTGGCCTTATAATGAAATACAGTAGATTCAGGGATATTACAAGGTTAGATTTAAGGTTAGATTCGAGGATATTACAGTCCTAATTCAAATTATTACGTTATATAAAAAAAGAAAAAAAAAGAAAAAATTTGCTAGTATTAAAATATGGGAAATAGCCAATTATATAAGCTAGTTACGTGCTACTACGTATATAGGGTTAAGCTTAAAAAGATTTACCTTTTAAATTAACCCATACACATATAATTTAATAATAAATAATAACAAATCGTGATAGCCTCATTTCAATACCGTATATTTCCTTTCCTTTACCGTATGCTTATTGGTGTATACTTAATCCTTACCTAATTATTACTTCATACCTGGTCCTTCCTACAAATTTAATATTATTAATAAATAATATATTAAATAAATTTAAAATAATAAATATTATAATAAAAATTAATTATTTTTATATAAATATTAAATTTACCTTTATATTAATTTTAAATTTATTATTATTAATAATTTTATTTATAATTATAATATATTTTAAAATATTAAATTATTTTAATATTTTATTTAATAAAAAATACTTATAAATTAAAATTTAATAAATTATATTTAATATAAATAAATTAAAAGATTAAATAAAGATTTATTAAAGGTAAATAATTAATAAAATAAAAAAAATAAAATTATTTTATAAATTTTTTAATATAATTTAATTATCTTAATAATATGTTTTAAAATTAATCTTTAATAGGTAAATAAATTTGAAAAGGTATATTAAAAGGATTTTTTAGAATTTTTTAAAAGGTATGGTAATATTAAAAATCACTTTTATAAAGTGTTATTTAAAATGATTAAAAGGGTGCATTTAAAAAGCTATTATTAAATGAAGACCTGGGAAGAGATCTTATAATTTAATCCCAAGTGCTTTAAAAAACAAGTCCTTAATTGCAAGATTAATGGTTTAAGGGGATTAATAAGCCTTAAAGATTAAGGAGATATATGCTTTAACATTAATTAAAAGGTTTTTTAAAACTTTAATAGTAATAATTATAAGATTTAATTTTAAATTAATTTAATATAACGTTATAAACACGTTTATAAATACGAAATTTAAAAGAAATATATTTATAAGAATACCATTAAACTATTAAAAAAATATTTTTAAATTATTTAAAATATTATATAAATTATAAAAATTTTCTTTATTATAATAAAAAAAATTAATTAAAACCTTAAAAATCCTAGGTTTTAAACTTATTTTTAAAGAATTTTATATATTTATTAAAAAAAGATTTTATTATTTATTTATATTAATAATATTATTATAATATATTTTAAGGTTAAAAAAAATAATATATTTTATAAAAAGTTTTAAATAATATTATTAATTTATTGGAAATAATAATTTATAATAATTTTTAAGTATTAAAATAATAAGGGATTAAAAAAATAATTTATTTAATTAAATTAATTTATATATATTAATAAAATAACTAATTTTATAAAATTTTTAAATTAAATTTTAAATATTTTAATAATTAAAAAAAAATTATTCTTTTATAAAGAAATAATTTTATTTAAAAATATTTACCATTATTAATAATATATAAAATTTATTTTATATATTATAATAATTATATATTTAAATATAATTTTTATAATTTTATAATTTTTATAATTTAATTTTAATTCCGGTTTAAAATATTATAATATATTAAATTAAATAATTTTATACCTTAAATATACATAAAAATATATATTATAATTAAAAGGGGGTAATACTTTTAAAACTATAAATAATATTTTATTTATTAATAATACTTATAATTAAATTTTTTTTAAATATATATAATAAGGTTATTTAAAAATATAATAAGTTGGAAGGTTAATAAATAAAATATAATAATTATATTTATTATAAAAACTAAATTACTAATTTTATTATAAATAATAAAAGAAATTATATTTGTTATAAAATTAATTTATTATTAAAATTAATTATAATAATAAATAATTAATTAAATTAATTAATAAAAATATTAAAAAATTAAAGATTAAATTAAAATACGTAAATATATATAATTATTAATTATATTAAAAAATTTAATAAAGTTATATTAAAATAAATTATATTATTTTAAGACATATAATTGCAAATAAATTTATTAAAACTTTTATAAAAAATTTATATAAATAATTTAAGATTTAATTAACCTTAATAAATATTAAGAATTTTTTATAAGTAAAACAATTACAAAAATTAAATAATAAAATAATTATAAAATAAAAAATATATATTAATAATAATTAAAAACAATTAAAGGCCTTTTTTAAATTAAAATCAAATTATTAATAACTTAAATAATAAAAAGATATTAAGATATTTTAAATTAAATTAACCTATTAATTGTATTTAAAGAAATGTATTAAATTAATTAGCTATATTAAATAACTTAAAAATCCTTAATCTTATGTAAAATAACGGTGTAATACGCATTTCTACGATTTTACCTCAATCAATTAAATAATCAATAATATAATAAATTAAACCTTATATAACGCTTATTTAGTACGTATTAATTGTGTGACACATTTTTAATATAAAAAAAAGTTTTTTTTACATATTACCAAATAAAAACCAAACGTTTATCAACGTATTTTTATAATAATTTCAATTTATAAAACGTTTTATAATATATTATATTTTATTTTAAAAATTACGTTATAATAACACGGTTATAAACTTTTAAGCCGACTTTTACGAAAAAAAATTTTAAAAAATAAAACTAAAAAGTTTTTATTAATAAATCAAATAATATATTTTTGCCCCACTGTACCACTTACCATGACCTTTAACAATTACGTTTAAAAAATATCTTTTATACACTTTACATTTTATCACATTTATATATTACTGTAATGAATAGTTGGAATGCAGAAATTACTTCTTTGGTATATCAGCCTCTCCAAGGCATAAAGCCCATTCGGTTGCTCCGCCTTTACCCTGGTGAGCCTTCTGATCCGCTCCGCGCAGAACTCATCCCTACAACCGTTGAGGAGGCCTTCGGAAGATATGAAGCTACAAGCTACACCTGGGGTTCACCGGAAAACCCGTCCTCCTTTTATTGTAACGATTTCAAGATGACAATACAGAAAAATGCGTTTGATATGCTTCATGACTTAAGATTACGAGAAAAGCCTAGGATCATCTGGAACGATGCCATCTGCATCGATCAATCCAATATCGAGGAACGGAGTTTCCAGGTTTTCTTTATGGATGAGGTATATCGGTGGGCGGATAAGGTTATAGTTTGGCTCGGCAAATCAGACGAATATAGCTCTCTGGCCATGGCCTATGCTGCCAGACTTGACACAGCAAAATTACTTAGCGAAACTGGAGAAATATATACGATGGGCTCGACATCGCCGAAAAAGTCCTATTTCTTTGAAGCGGGGGAGGAGGTAACAACACTCCAGCACCAAAACCTCGGAATTGCTTTAGTCAAATTCATCAATCGCCCGTGGTTTAATCGTGTGTGGGTTCAGCAAGAAGCTTCTTTATGCGCCCAGACTAGAGTCGTATGTGGGAACCAAGAAGTTGACTGGGACAATGTTTTTTTATTAGCATGGATGATTTTGCCAAGTAACATAACTCTTTATCCTGATTACATACTCGATGATCTTGATCGAACGCTTGACAATATAACAGCCGTACAGTATATACAACGTCGAAGAAAACGACTGTTTCAGGATATAGCCGAGGGAATAAATAAATCAGCTTGGTCTCTGGTGACCTACCTGGGTTATACGAGCCGCTTGAGTTCTACAGACCCACGCGATAAACTCTACGCGTTGCAACACGTTGCCCAAGATGCCAACACGTGGTTCAAAGTAGACTATAGGGTACCTTGGCAACTACTGTATATTGACGTCTCTCGCAAATTTCTACAGCGTGGCCTTCTTGGATTCTTGAGAAATGCTGGCCTATCTCGACAGAAACCAGGCGGAGGCATAATGCCGTCATGGGCTTTCGATCTCAGAGCAGATGAAAGATGGGGCAGTAAGGCGATGGCGGAGCATCCGGCTTGGATGGCTGGAGGTCCGAAATATACCTGGGCACATGATCCTCCAAGAGGGGCCGGAAGCGTACAAAGTCTTCCTAAACGCCACCGAAGACGACTGGATTTACCTGACGAGCTAAAGAATTCCAAGGATCCTCGAAAGGCCTTGATACAAAGCTATGCCAATGTGAAGGCCTTACTATACGATGAGATCATATATATGTCTGATTGCCTTAACAACCCTTTCGACGTCCAAGGCATGCAGGATATCTTACAAAAGGATCTAGATTATATTGCGAACTTAGAGGGGCAGACGTACCTAAACAACGATAATCTCGTAGATGCCTACAATCTAACCTTAATACTCTGCTTGGATGACCAGCAGGAGATTGTAGGTTCTGAATACATATGGAACAATTGGGACGCCTGGATGGCGTGGACACGGGATCCATCCCGCGGCCGTGATAACATGCCTATTCTTGAATGCTCTATGGAGGCTTCAGGGGCGCTTGTCAACTTTCGATTCGCGATGACGAAACATGGGTATTTCTGCCTAGTGCCGCGAGATACACGGCTTCATGATGCAGTAAGCATCTTGGTGGGGTATACCCTAGGTGTGGTTATTCGTCCTTGGCAACCACCCTCGCTTCGCGAGAACAGCGGACAATGCCATGAAAAACCCCCAGGTGCTATGGAGAAGCCAGAATACTTTGAACTAATTGGAGATTGTTTTATCCACGGGATGATGGTGAATGAAGCTCGGTGTATCATTGAAGAGTTCCATTGCAACCCTAACCCTACACCAGCTAAATTGGATGCTATGGGTAAAGCTTCTAAGTTTAGGGATGGAGAATCCTGGAAAACACTCGGACTTAACAGCGGATATGAAAGAATACTAGAGACGTTGGGTGAACGCTTTATCAAATTAGTTTGAGTCCATTCATTGGAACTTGCAATCGGTCAGGGCCTTGCTAGTTATAGGAGGCTTACATGAAATTTAGAAAAGTGCCAATGACAATATAGGTACACATACAATTATACTGGGATCTGGGAGCACTCCACATGAATAACACCACACAGAGTGTAAGGACCATGATGTGCAGAAGGCAGCTAAATCATTGAGTAGACTGTGCAAGCGGAACCAAAGCTGACATGACAATATCGGGCACCAACAATTTTAGTAGGGGGCCCTAGGTGAATTATATTCCAGATACGGAGTTGCCGAAGGTACGTTCGTACTATATTGCACTACAATCCTCGAAATCCAACTGCTTGTTTGGGGCGCATTGGTATCTATCTTGACCTAACTAATATTCCTACTATTATGTTGAACTAAGTACCTAGGTGTGTATCTATCTTATATGCGCGGACAACAAGGAGGTCAAAAGGAAGAGATTCTAAAGAGTACTGCAAGTCGAATTAATATCTTCGTTCGCTACCGCCTTCCCGTTATAATATTGCACTATTTGGATATGATAGACGGATCACTGCTTCGCTGTAGTATCCTGACCAGCGGCGATCTTAGCCTCATAGTCGGTAAAGGTCTCGATACCTTTGGGAACACCATTTCACTGCAAGTCCTGCTCTTCCATCAGACGAGCACGAATTTCCATGCATCTCTTCCAGGAGGGCAATTCGGCCATACGTTCATGCCAGGCACGGACATGAGGGGTACCCTCCCACACCTCGTCCCAAGACTGGAGCAACGTCTCGCTGAGACGAAAGTTCCATGGTAGCCAGGCCATGTCCGCGAATGTCATTTTTTGACCTACGAGCCATTGGGAATTAGCAGGCTTAGCGGCCAATATGCCCTCCATAATAGCCAACACGCGTTTGATCTCGTTACTATAGCGTTCGACGGCTGACGGGACCTTCTCCGAATGTAGATGTTGAAACCAACCACATTGACCCTAGTAAGGTCCCCGGCCGCTCATCTGAAAGTGAAGATACTGGTTGCATTGATGATGTTTTAAAAAGCCGCCTTTGGATAGGGATTTGTCTGGGTCATACGAGAGACGTCTTTCTGCATCGTACTCTTCAATTACATATTGGTAAATAGCCCCTGACTCCCATAATATTAGGCCCGTGTTTGGATCCTCTATGGCCGGTACGCGGCCGTTGGGGTTCACATCAATAAACGGCTTCTTCTTAACATCGTCGAAGCGGATTGATTTGATCTCGTAGTTTAGCCCGAGCTCTTCGAACAGGAACACAGCCTTTGTAGTACATTAGCATGAGCAAAAAAAGCAAAAACTACCAATGTGGGTTCCAATAGGTAATTCACCTTCCAGGGGTTAGGCCCGGGAGCTGTACCTAGTTAATATTACTATTTCACACTACTTTGTTTGGGTAGATACTTACGAGTAACCCACACGCGGATAGGCTTAAGGGGTTATTTGACATGTTGTCGATGCCTTTTATTTGCAGTGAAATATGAGTAATTCTAGAAGATAGCTGTGAATAATCTAAGAAAAAGGCAGTCGGGGTTCAAAGGAGCTCTGATGGGATATGAGGGATTTTTGAATCGAGGTGTTGGTCCAGATTAAACCAGTACACCACGACCAACGCCATCCCTTGCATTTACCTACATAAGATAGTAACTAATGAGATAGTACATATTGATATTACGTAACAAGGGGCGTGTTAGACGGATACTGCATTACGTCCAAGTCCTATCTATGTATGATTTATGTACCTAATATTATGTATGTAAAATTCTAAATAGTCTTCTTGAACGAAAGACCCTATTATTTTCTATCTTTAGCAAGAATATTAGTCATTTAGTAATCGGCCATCTCGCGACGTCACAATGTCTGAGACTTTCCACTCATTTGGCCGTTTCCCACCGGAGATGAGGGATAATATTTAGAAGCTTGCAATCAGGCCTGGCGGCCCTGCTCGACGGGGTGCACACACATTCAGCATCCATTACCGAAGCAGAGGCAACGTCGACATGTGATAGCTCTCGCGCTTCACAAATATGCCCCATCTTCGCATCCTCGCTTGCGAGTACATTTGAGCTGAAGATGTAGGGCTTGAATCCAATAGCCAACTACACATGTATCAAATTACAACTCATTCCCCCTTTGTCAGGATTCTAGATGAGACATCTAGAACAAAGGACGCGTTCAGTATGTATAGACATAAGCCCTCGTAGTCAGATTAGAGTTCCTCGCGGAACAACGAAGTTGTTTCCTTACTGTTTAGTTCCACCTCGTGACACCCTTGAGCTTGTAAATCCATTATGGAATCAAACCTAATATCTAGCTGATACAGGGAAAGAAATAGGCGTGGCTTATTCATATCAAAAATCGAGACTTCAAAGAGGTAGATACCCTATTTAGAACTATTAGGTAATTCCAAGCAACCATTTGCCTCCCCATTTTTAGGAAAGTCTATAGAAGATATATCTCGTCAACCGAATGGGGCCACATACTTTGCTATCCTAGCCTAGATGAGCGATCCACGCAGGATGAGACGGTGATCCTGGGTGAGCACAGAGACGGTAAAAGTTAAGACCGTTTGAGTCACCTTCTACTCAGCTCAGCCTCTACTTACTTCATTTTCCATTGGTGCTTTATGTTTCTTTGAAATTCAATACATTGCGGCCAAAGAAGGAGGCGTTTGTAAATAGGAGAAGCCCGAGGGTAGGAGAAAGGGTGGGTCGGCTCCCCAGAAAATGCTTTTGTTTCGTTGATGGGGATAAGAGGCAAATATAATTTCTCCACGCTGTGTTTGGGATAGGAGAGATTGCTGCTTACTTGGGAATGTTATTGTAAGAGCTGAAGTGTATTATCACTATATTTGAGCTAACCTACGCTACCCATTTCCTATATTCTAAATAAGATAGGAGTTATTTCATGTAGGTGATTAGGTCGGGATTTTATGCCTATTTTACAGGGATCTATAATTATTGCAAGTCTTGAGTGTGATGATTTCTCTCATCAAGTTCATCCCCGTGTGCGTTGACATGTCAAATTTCATAATGGCCAGGACTAGGTGGTACATCACCAGAATCCCACGCAGTCTTATCAGCACCGAGCTCAAACTCTAGCAAGCTGTCCTCTCCGTTAGGCCGGACTATGTCATCGTGGCTGACCCAACTTTGGTTCCACGACTGTCCGTTGACTTTCAAGCTCTGTATATACGGCCCCTCGTCTAAGCCTGTAGTTCTGATGCTTAAAACAGCGCCAGACTCCCCGACGCTCACGGTGATATTCTCGAATCTTGGGGAAAGGATTAGATACACCGGTTGCGTGACAACCGGGTAGAGACCGATCAAATTCCAGATTAACCAGCTGCTCATCGCACCGGCGTCATCGTTCCCTGGGATTCCAGAGGGCCCCGTATTGTAAAATTGATCTACTACCTCCCGGGATCGCTGAACTGATTTATGCTGCCGCTTTGGGAAGTAGTTATACAAGAACGGCGTCATGAAGCTGGGCTCATTACCCGGGTTATAGATAGTCGTACCGGCGCCATTCCCGCCTACATTAGACCCTGCAAGACCCGGAATAAACATGGTGTCTAGTCTTGACTCCGCTTTCGTTGGACCTCCCATTCGAGAGATCAATGACTCCATGTCAAACGGGACAGTCCAGCTATATTCCCACCTTTTAATGATGAAAATTAGTATATATATGAATTTATTAGGAGATGCGTAGGGTCACTTACGGAACACCCTCGTAGGTTATACTACTCCATTCGCAGGCGCCGCATGATATTGGATCGTAATCCTGATAACTGCCATTCGGCCATGTGGGCGCTAAGAAACCGGTGAAATTCAGCGACGTTACGTCCGAGGCCCATGTCCTTTGCCAACCCCTATTTATCAAATCAGCAGCTTTTACTAACTATCCCTAGCAGCAGTAGGAACTTACGCGGAACCATTGAGGTATTTCATTGCGTCATCTGGCGCTTCCCCCTTGGCAACTTGATACACCGAGAAGTCGTTCAATGAATACTCGACAGTTTTACTTAGAGATCGTCCAAAATTCGGACTAACATAACCGTATTGCCTCCAGTCTCGAAGTGCGCCTCGGCCTTCCTTTGTACTCCCGGTCAAATCTTCCGGGTCGAAATTGTTGAAGGGCAAGTCATCTGCGTCACTCTTCATGGCCGCATAACCATCTGACCAATTAATACCGCCTCGAAGGCCCTTCACATAAGAATCGGCCAGCACATTATCGGCGTTAGAACCGCCTTGTACTCGTCCGTTGAAGTTGTGACTTCTCCCATCCGGCATAAACCCTTCAAAGCGCCAAATGTCTATTAGAGCTCTAACGATCTCTATTTGTATCTTCGGTTGAATTAAGACGTAAAGAGAGTGGAGACATCTGAATGTGTCCCAAATGGTATAGAAATCGTCATAATACGGTTCATCTGATTCCCAGTACGGATTGTCTCCAGTTCTGTTCGAAGGAAGTAAGTGGGCATGGTACATAGCTGTGTAAAACATCTCCAACTGAGTGTGGTTCATCGATGTGACGTCGATCTTCGAGAAGATGTCCGAGTTCCACTGGTCTTTGGCGGCATCTCGAACATGCTCTAAATTCCAATGCGGGATTTCGTCGAGGAATTGACACGCCTTGTCTGTCGAGACCCAAGATACACCAACTTTGGAATTAACTGTTGTGACGTTTGAGGGAAACTCGAACAGGGCTCCAACACGGTCTGCGTATTGGTATCCTATGATTCCACCGTCGATACTAGTGTCATTGGTGAAAGTTGCTGTATCATTCTTTGTGCCGGGCCAGTATGGGTCTGTTGCTTTACCCGAGAAGAGTTGAGACTGCGATGGGTGGGAGTCGAATCGAGCACAGAAGTATACTCGGTAATCACCCCCTAGAGCTTGTTAGCAGAACTATCAGGTATAAGTGATTTAGCAGCAACTGACCAGTAGACCAACCCCCTCGATATACACCATAACCCGAATAAGAAGTACCGTCATCGCTACGGTCGATTTTCCCATTGCTATAGAATTGCCCTTTGTCTCCAGTGCTGGGGAGATAATGACTAATATCGACTAGAATATAGCGCCCATCTGAATTGTTGGGATATGTGTATCTAATTATTCCAGCATGCATAGCAGCACTCATCTCAGCAGTGACACCGTTCTGCAGCCGAGTCTTATAGTATCCGACCTCAGCTACGTCTGGGGAGACTCGCGGTTGCATATAGGTCATATTATCTAGTACATTCACACCGTCAAGACTCGTAAGGGGCATTTGAGGTATAAGTCCGTAGGTTGGTGCTCCACCCGTACCGCTCTCGTGTAACATCGTGATGGCGGTGACATTTGAGTCTGGAGTATAGCCACCGTTCGCGGTAACTGAAGTAATCAAAGTCAGTAATCAATGAATTACTAGCTGAGAAGCTAATTAATGAGTTATAGAGTCAAGGTTCATAGGAAAGTGATTTGGAGCGGGTTTTCTCTTGCCCATCTCGTTCTGCATATATCTCCCAAATGTTACTATTCGGGATAAACTTACATGAGACATTCAACCTAATTGGGTATTAGTAACATGTCGATAGTAAGGTTCCCTTGCGATATAGGAATACATACTCGGCAGTATCAATCCCAACCCTAACAGCGCCAAAAGGCAGACTGGCTCCGGGAAATACATTACCAGAATTATAGGATGTGCCCGGGTCCGGCCCCTCGGTACCAATAAAGAGATTTACATGCTGCGTCCTGTCCTCGGCGCCGGCTGCGAGGTGCTTAGTGGTAAGCACTGAGACGACAGCAATAAGACTCCAGAGCAACTTCATCGTTATAGGCTGCGATCCTAAATACCTAATGGAAATGTTATACGAATCTAAGTAGTACAGATAAGGAGACTTGGCACGCCTTAAGTCTGGTAGGGAGGACCTTGACGGAATTTTTACGCAGAGAACTCCATCTATATAGCAACAACTACAAGTATCATACCATCGAGATGCTTTGTTCGGACAGCTCCCTTAGATCCCATGACAGGACTCATGCAAGCTGTATGCTCTCTTCATACGATTCCCAATCTCAATCAACTTTTCAACCATGCTACCCCAGATGACTCCATAGCATTCCCCGCAATACCCCAAGCTTCTCCCACTCCCTTGCCTTTAAAGATCCTCGCTAAGCCACTTCCGGCTTTCATCGCTACCAAAATTCTGGATTTGTCTTTAACCTCCTCTCGAAATTGGAACCTCTCACATGACTTAGTTCCCGAGCGGATTGCAAATCTCAATTGTTGACGCATGCTACCTTTTGTAGGATCATATCACATCAAAGGGCCATAGTCGTTAGTCACAGCAATCAAACCCGAAGTGTTACGACTTTATGGATAGCAGCATTAAGCATCGCGGGGTATGTCTTCGACCTGTCCCACAGCATCGGGTCCGAGAGACTTGTCCTATGTAGCATAAACCGTTTAGATATTCTGACCTTTCAGAGGTGCTGCGTAGGTAGCAAACAGCATACTCTCCAATTGTCGTCACTGCGTCGCATCCCGGGTGGGTTAAGATACGTGATGGCGACATAATATCTTATATTCGTCACAGGCTATCGGTTATAACCGGCTCTCAACACCAACTTGCCGGAATTTCGCTCACTATCCGCGGACGTCTCCGTATGCCCATAAAAACCATCCGGCCAGAGCAGCAGAAGCGCCCCAATGACCGAAGGCCTTCCTCCTAGCTTTGTATCTGCCGTAAAGACAGACTGCGATACCGTCGCCTAATCCCGCAAGAGACATGGCCCCCGTCATGATTGTGACAGCGTCGTCGTATCCGTGATGTTGCAAAGCCCCTCATGCTAAACCGTATGTGGATTCGCGGATGCTCTTTAAATAAAGTACCGGGGATGCGTACTCCTCGTCACCCGTGTTGTGTTCCCGCCGGGGGCCGCCGGGGCGCGGGTTCTAGCGGTAAGCCGAAGCGGCGGCATTTTACTTCCGCGCGTAAGAAGCAGTGAATGCTAAATAAGAAACATACTTCCGGCCCCGATGGTGTAGATAGGTATAGGTGACGGAGATGGCTTGTCAAATCCGGTTGATTTCCTCACGAATATTTTCTTAGACTATATGGAATATTTTACATCATGTCGAGTCGCGCCGTCTCTATATGTTGGGACAGGGAATAATAGGGGTTAGCTACGTGGCTGGGTTCTAACATGTTACTCGGAATAGCAAGAGGCCGGAGATAGCAGCTATGCCGGGATCCACGCTTAAACTCCGCTTCCAGCTATTAACTTACTTACTAACCTACTAGGTTAGGTTACAACGTGGCTTTAGAGACATAAAGAGAATACTTGTGTGAATGCCTATTTGCTTGCGCCGAGCTTATCTCATTCGCTTCGTGCAGTCTCTGGATATTAAGTCAAGAAGACTTAGACTTGTAAATGGAAACGTCAAGCCTCAATAAACTCGTCTTGAAACCGGTAATTTGGGAATGGTCTTAGGTTCCGGAAGGGTTCGTAATGCCCACGTGCGGATGTGGATAAGTAATGTCCGTGCGGGATATCCGTCGAACGACGAAACGAACGATAGAAGAAGAAAAACAAGTCATCTCCAGCTTTACCTTGGTTAGCGGGCTACTGGATCGGACGAATGTAGGCAATATTTTATAAGTCGGTCCCGGCGCGACACACACGATGCCGTAAGTGCTGACTACATACACCACACTGGGGGAGACCCGCGACGTGGCGACATGGATAATATCACCGAGCTGGGTGCGTTAGTTGCGACAAGGCCGAGCTTTGTTATCCTGGCTGCAGATCCTCCGACGGACAGGGACGCACGCTTCGTTATCTTCTCTGTTTCTTAACCGAGTGAACGCAGGTGGAGTCACATTGGATCTGGGGTTGAGGCCGCGATAGCGTTTCAGTGTCGAGACATAAAACTAAGGCTGTCGATATGAAGTTGACTACACGCGGTTTTATTCGAAGCGTATGGATGAGGATTTGCATCGTGTAGTTTTCTGCGACGATATAATAAGCCATTCATATGAAATTTGATATACGAATGCGTTTCGAGAAATACCGAAGTTCGTTTTGGTCTGATGTGAGGTCTTGTTGCAGGGGTTCTGATATTGTACCGCATCGCCTTGGCACACTGATTCACACAAGGAACTTGGTTTCAGACCCACGCTATGACTGGCCGATATGAGACTCTTTTGCTTCACGATCTCATACCCCTGTCTGGTCTCCTTAAGATAAGATGTTTCCTCTGATTATCGATCATGTTCCTTGTATAAATAAAAGAAACTGGGAAGATCACTTCTAGTTATATGTAGATCCTCAACCGCGCATCCAGGTATTGAAGATCTCGCAAAACACTCTCGTTTACTATTACTATTTCTCTCATTGAGCCACTCTTCGTTAAGATCCACTCATTTAGACAACCAAGAGTGAGAACACACTATCACGTCGCCATCATGAAGTTCTTCGCCCTCCCTAGCATCGCTACGATTCTCGCCGTAAACGCATCACTTGTCGTGGCTTTACCTCTCGAAGCCGAAGCAAACACAATCAACACAACTCGGAGCACTACAAGCAATGACTGCTCTATGGACAAGATAAGAGAATGCGTTGCTGATACGGGACTCGAGAGCACGATATGTTTCAAGCAAGTATGCGCTGGCGTACAAGGAACACCGAGGCAAACCAAACGTCAAGAGGACCAGTGCACCGAAGAAAACCTCCTCCAATGCGCAGTGATGGAATGGCGGGAGGCCGAAGTGTGCTTCCAGGAGTTCTGTCTGTAAAACTATCGCAGGGCGTTATATGGATCGGAAAGCTCAGGAAACTATGAATTATTTCCTCGGTGACATGAATGCGATTACTCAGAAGGGGGAAGGAACGGAACTACGACACACGTATTCCTAATTTAACCCGCCCCATTCGATAGAACGGAATCGGAAGGTTGTCTGTTTAGACACTGAATATCTTCCGAGTTAAAGAAGCAGCATTCACATAACTGGAGACATATTTTATGGAACTCGGGATTTCGGCCACCAGACGGAGTCCGCAGTTTTTGAACACGGATGAGATGTGGACCTCATTCATTTGGATTGTATTTGTACTGTACTTTAAAGACGGCAGGGTCGGTCTTGGAGGACGCTTTGGCATGTCTGATGGCTGTTACGATTATATCTGCAAGCAGAGCTAAAACAAAAATAAAATATTGAGATACCCCTTTTGAAAATTGATTTTTATTCATTAAAGAACTGTAAACTATAAGCGTGTGTATCTACAAGTGAAAACATTAAAATATGTAGTATGATCTGGACGTTTATGTCTAAAGGAGTAACAAGCTACAATATACTACTTAGCTAAAGCTGTCTCTACTATTCCTTACATAGCTAACTAGGTATGTAAAAACTCGCGCAAAGCTCCTGTCATACTATTCGCCATCTTCCCAGTGAGACCCAACGTAGGAATGTAGTTCAGTGGCAAGCGAAACTATCAATTGGCTGGAGCTTCATCCTACTCCGAACCTCTCGTACGTTGTATCCATGGCTCAGCTCCGGGCCTTTGTCTTCTCGGAGAATGAATTACGAATACGCAATGCCCACTCTTTGATTCTCCACGTAGTTGATGAAATCTCTCCTAAGTATTCAGAGACAAGTCTTGGGCTTGAGGCACTTATATATCATTCTTGCTTAGGCAATTACTTGCAATTAGGTACAGACACCGGAGCCTAGATATATTATGCGACTCTTAAAAGTATCCCCTTTATTTGCGTTGCTAACTCGCGATGTCCTTGCGGCTAAAAATGGCTACTGTCCGCCTTTGGGACCGGCCCTCCCGGCGGCGACGAATTTGAGCTCCAACCTGGTAGTCCAACAAACGTTGGCACTACTGAGGGGGGCCCTAGACCTGTACGCTGTGGCACTCTTTGACGGTACGGCAGTGTCAGTTGGCGTAAGGTCTATTCACGAAGCAACACCCTTGGTAGATATACACTACCAGTCGCCGGATCTGGATCCGCGGGGAATGAAGCAAATAAATGCCTCGACCGTCTATCGAGTTGGAAGTGTGTCCAAGCTGTTTACGGTGCTGGCGGCCCTTAAGACCGAGGGTGTCCGAACGGTAGACCCTATCACCAAGTACCTACCACGACTCAAGGAACTTAAGAAGCGAGAAGGAAGCACAGAAGATGAGCTCGTTACTGTTGATTTGGACGACATTACACCTCAAACTCTACCATCACACATGAGTGGAATTGGACCGGACTGTAAGAATCTCATATGAAGTACTGCACCCACCCAGCTAATATGTTGCTTAAGTTGTAACCGACATGGCGAGCCTCGAGGCCGATTGGGCAAAACTTGAACATCCTCAAGTTTCCAAAGTGTTATCCCTTGTAATGAAGAAGGTCAATAGATGGTATAACCCGCCTTACCTCTAGGTGACTGCTTTCATATGTGCGTACTAGATTTCTGGGGAAACTTTGGGAAGCGGGATCCCACTTTTGCGTCATACACCACCCCTATGTATTCAATTACGGCATTCTACTTAGGTACTCAGCTTGGTCATCGAGTCGGTATCCGGGCTGCCTTTCAAACGACTTCGTTCAGAAGAACATCTTAGATCCTGTTGGTATGACAATAACCTCGTTGGCGAAGCCGGACGACAAGTTCGGTGCTATCTGCCTAAATGATACGATATGGGACGAAGTTTTGGGAATCAACGATCCGTAAGTGAATATGTACGGTGTTATGCATTGGACGAGTTATTGACCAAAGGAAATAGGGCTGGGGGATTCTACTCAAGCATGGAGGACCTCCTAACCTTTGGGGAAGCAATACTAACTTACAAGCTTTTCTCACCATCGTAAACTTGTCAGTGGCTTAAACCCGTGACACTCACTTCCTTGTCGGACCTCTTCATCGGCGCACCATCGGAGATCGCGCGTGGGGACAAGCTTACCTCAGACCAACGTCCAACCGACTTATATGGAAAGGCAGGCGACCTCGGCCCGCACCATGCGATGTTTAGTCTGATTCCAAACTACGACCTCGCCGTAAGCGTGCTTATTGCCGGGTCTCAGGCCAACACTGGAACCACGTAGATCTTAAGCTTGCTCGTAATGCAACTATTACTCTCGGCTATCGAAGACGTTAGTAAGGAAGATGCTTTGTCTCGGCTTGTAGGTACCTACCGGGACGAGCAGAGCGACTCTAGTATTACGCTGGCTGTTGATGATTATGGGCCGGGGCTTAGCGTTGGAGATTGGATAGTCCGTGGTGAGGACGTGCGTGGGCATCGGCCTCGCTATCTTATCTCCACGACTGAAGATACTGGGGGAATGTACGCGTTGATGCGCTTGTATCGATCCGGCCTGAGCACTGGCTCGAGGACGACGTGGCGGGCGGTAGCTCAGCTCGCAATGTCAGAGCAGCTTGCTCAGATGGAGGCGCTTTTGTCTTGGCCGCAGAGTAGCTGTCTAACCTAGGCTTTCATGGATAGAGCCGTGTACGAGTTCGGTACGCTCGATGAGATTGTTATAAACTTGATTGATACAGATGCAGGAAGTACTGCTGCCAGTGTTGACTTGGTTGGGTTTCGGGCGACATTGCGGAAGACTACATGATATCCGGAACAGGTGTGTCTGAACTTGAGGATACCGAGCTCCATTTTTGAACATAGTTTGTCTAATATATGTAAGACCTCGTAAAGTTTGGACTCACCTTACTTTGGTGGACTCACCGAGGAGTTTAAGAGGCTATTATCTTGGGTGGTGGATCTGCTTTCTAACCCCCCCCCCCCCCCTAGGAGATTATCTAACCTAGTAGTGATACCCCTAGAGTAAGATCTAGATTCAAAGACTACGTTGAGCTCAGCATCCACCCAGCACAAACTCATCGACAAGCAGCCCCTTCACATGCTCTCCATGTTCATTGATGTGTGTTCAGCCGACTTTCGCACCAGATCCCGTTGACTTGGCAATGTCTTGGTTTCTTGTTACCTCGCAATCACCACTCCCAACTTCCAAGAAACAAACATTCGATACCGCGCTTTTCTACTTCCTGTGACCACCTTGGCAGCATTGTATAAAACTTTGAATATGTATATCCCGCGTAGAATCGATGTAACCCTGCCGGCAGCCGTAGATAAATTATCTGTCATGCCGGATACGTGCTCCGGCCGGGCTCCAGTTTCTTGCATAGTGCATCATGCAGGGTCTATACGAGCATGAAATGCTACCCACCTGGCCCTCTCGGAATGTCGTAATCGGGTACCGGGAGGAACCTCAGCATTTTGTTGTAGTCTATAAGAGCTAGGCATAAATGATCACGAATATTCGAAAGAGTTGGCAGAAAATCTGTCTTGAACCTTTGGAGGGCTAGTCTATTCATGTATATTGTAAATGGCCATCCCGCCCAAAGTAGAGTCCCAGGCCTCTTATAGTGTTTTCTTATACCCTAATACCTTTGTAATCGTATATGTACAACGTGTTCGCGTGCTTCCCTCATCCCATACGAGGCGGATAAGGCTGGCTATATTGCTTCCCATATTTGTGGGGGGTGGGGGAAAGGACGCTCCCGAGCGCCCAATGGAAATATGGATCGGAGGACTCGCTCTTGGAATATATACACCTGAAGAATAATATCGCTGATATAGAAGAAATAGCCATCAGAGAATCTGGCCTATCGGTCTAGAAATGAAGTGTTTGGACAACATCCCGCAGAAAAAATGGCGCCTGCGTCACTACCCTTTAGTTCGTTTAGAACTTAAGATTGGTAGTCGTGCATGCACATAATCCTTCAGGTGTGGAAGTCACTGTAGAGGTGACTACACTGATGATGGTAGACGTAGTACCACCGCCTACGGTTTCGAAGACAGTTGTGGTGCTGCCACCTCCACCAACAGTCTTGGTGACGGTAGTTTCGCCCCCGCCGACCGTCTTAGTGACCGTTGATGGTGCTGAACCAGTAACGGTGACGGTGGATGGCTTGATGGTTTTAGTTTTGGTGACAACTGACGGCGCGGAGACTGTAACAGTAGACTGGACGATAGTTGTGGTACCCTCCCCACCGCCAACAGTCTTCGTAACGGTCGACTCGCCGCCACCGCCGACGGTCTTGGTAACCACAGACTCACCAGGTGCTGAGACTGTGACAGTAGTATCACCACCTCCTCCGCCAACAGTCTTAGTGACAACCGAGGGTGCTGGTGCGGAAACGGTAATGACGGTTGTCTTAACATCACCACCACCGACGGTCTTAGTAACAACTGATTGGGCGGGACCTGAGACAGTAACAGTAGGGGGGATGATAGTCTTAGTCTTGGTACCACCCTCACCCTTTCCGTCTCCATTGCCAACGGTGACCGTCACGACAGGCCGCTGAGTAGCAGAAGACTCCTCCCCAGGGTTTGAGATTGTTACGGTACGAATGACAGCTGAGGACGAGGAGCCAATGTTGATGGTAGTAGTGATAACCGTCTCAATGGGGGTCTTAGATGAGGCAGAGTTAGTCACCTAGAGATGCAATATTAGTAACTGCTTGAGAGAAGCCTAGGGTAATCTAAAACCTACAGTCTTGGTAACGATACCGGTGCTATCAGAGACAGTCACGGTAACGACGGAAGGCTTGTCACCACCTTTGTCGCCACCGTTACCATTACCGTTGCCGTTGCCACCACCATTTGTGGGCGAAGCGCCGTCTGTAGTGGCAGTGATGCTGGGGACATTACTGCCATTGTCACCGCTTCCAGAAGGCTTAGATCCCGTCTCAGTGACGGTAATAACAGAGTCAGTAGGGCCAGCGGGGGGAGTTGCGGTAAAAGACTCCACAATAGACGACGAGATTGATGGGGCTTCGGTCACCGGGCAAACGGTGGTAGTGACACCGATGACGCTCGTGATAAGAACAGTCGAGTAGGCACCTGGTGGGAGCGAAGTAAGGCGTGCGGTATCGGTAGCAGCCGGGCAGTTAGTGACTGTAGATGTGCATGAAATGATCGTAGAGACGGAAGTCACGCTGACCGTCAGCGTCGTCAAGGGGACAGTTCCGTTGAATGTGGCGTTTCCGAATGTAGGGAACGGAGCAGTTGTATTTAGGAGCGGCGGAGACGTGATAGTCGGGCCAGCAACGTCGGTTGACGTAGTGCTGTTGGCGACCACAGTTGAGCTGGTAACATCTGTGGATGAAGAACTGCTTAATGTAACGGTCGAGGTGGTGATATCCGTCGAAGACGAGGTGCTGTTAGTTACCAACGTGGAGCTAGTAATGTCTGTCGACGACGACGTACTACTAACAATGTCTGTAGACGAAGTACTAGTAATAATGTCTGACGATGAAGTGCCACTGACTGTAACAGTTGAAGTAGTACCATCTATCGACGAACTACTGCCAATTGCTATAGTTGATAAAGCACTGTCTGTCAATGAACTACTGCTGACTGTCACAGTTGACGTAGCAATGTCTACTGACGAAGTGCTGCTAATGACATCGCTTGCCGTCAAAGTCGATTCTGATTCATCTGTTAGCTTACATCACTTCGTTGGTCTTCGAAAGGCTCGTACCACTTATTGTCGGAATGTTTGAAGTAGGAGACTCGGCGGTAGTAATACTACTACCAATCTCGGAAGAAGAAATAACAATACTACTGCTGGTCTCCGAAACAGACGTAGACGATTCGAATACAGAAGTAGTGATTGTGCTTGGGGCAGCTACGGTTGTGGTTGAGTTCACGAATGTGATATAGCGCGGGAATTGCCGTCGTGCCGCTGCTCTATCCGCAAGCAGAAAGAGGGCGGCGGCCAAAGCATCTTTTCTTCTAAACAGCATATTGGGAAAAAAAACCCCTGATATATATATTCTAAAAATGAGCGCTGAAAAGACAGTAGAAAGGAACGGCTAGCCGAGCCCTAAAGAAAGAAAGCTCAAGACCGAGAGAAAGGAATGAATGGGAGAAAACACTTGCTTTATGATCTTAAAATATCTACCTAGAACATGGGGAACTGTGGTAGCCAAGGGTTCGATAAAGTAGAATCCTATCAATTGGTCATCATTAGGTTTAAAATTTCGAATAAGAAAGGTGAATAGGACGAGTCTGCTGCCTCGTCGACGTCCAATCTAACCCATACCTGTACCCCGGGTCGAATCGAGCATTCGCTCCCTGCATGAGTCTGGCACAAGATGTTATAAACAGCATTGCGGCGGCTTATCCTAGCTAAAGTCAATTGCGAGATCAATCGAGACTCAGAATTGGATTCACGGATCGCACGGATAAGATATCACGATAGGGAACTCGCACAACATCGTTCTATAAGTTAGATGTTAGAAACATATTTTCTATTACGAGGAGTGAAAGGATTAGGTAGATTCGTGGCGTTACCCCATTAAAGGCAGTTGGCAACGTGTATATAGGCCTATTGCTATATAACTGTTTCATAGTGGCAGTGCATTTCGAATCCATCGCTGAAGCTATACCGAAAAACAATATTAGAAGGATTCGTTTGAGATTTGGGAGTTCCCGGGCACAGAAGCCTCAGTCGCATTCATCTTCCAATCTCGGCTAATTTTGTTTACGTTTACTCGGATGCCTTATGATGAGTTCTAGGTAGGAATATAGAGGTCTAGACCAATTATAGGGTTGACGTTGATAGATTGATAGATACATGTAGACGAGGATCAATGGACGTTCGTATTGGAAGCATTATTGTATTAACCAAGGTACCTATTTATATGTATTTCGTATGTACCTACGTACATCTAACCTCTACGCCAATAGGAAGCAACAGAAAACGTAACTGCTATGTACTTAGGTAGGTAACCTAGTTATGTACCTGCCCCCGGCATTTCAACTCTAAACTCCGGGTGGTTGCTAAGCTTCAAGCTTCAATCTCCAATCCTCAACATTATCAACTTTTTATCGAACAACTCTCCAACTCAAGTACCAAAGAGAAATACCCAAAAGCTTTGAAAATAAAGGATCTTATTATCCCCCCCCCTCTCGAGAATTGTTACCTGCAACGGCATTAATTTGCTTCATGCGTCCTTACGTTCTCGCACATGAGCCAAGCAAAGCCACCCGTATTTCTCTCTAAGAACATCATCTAAAACTTGATGGCACGATAACAAATGCACACAAGCAAGCCACCTGTCGTCACTGTGTAGCGCGACAGAGCCACATTAATTATTTTAATGTCTACTATTTCAACTTTATCTAGTATGTAGCCTTCTCCTCTGTATCTTATTCGTGCATTCGCACCTTGATCATCTCTGATTCATATGTTCCTTGCTAATCGACCGCCTCTTGTCTGAACCTCTTACCGCAAGTTCTCTTCGATGAGTCGGGATGCTGGATAACGCGGCAAGCATAAAGCTCAGCTCCGCGTCGGACTGACTTTGTAGCACGTTGCATCTCAACACGACGAGGCTTTCGACATTGAACTAAGCATAATTCGGAGGCGAGCTGTTACGCTCGCTCAACCATGCTCGTAGTCGAGCAGGTAATAATATACACGCCGGTGCCGGGGAATTTTAACGGGGTTCATTTAGCTTGATCTACGACAATGGCGTATTACAGATCCTCGGAGAATATCAACCCCTGAATCTGCTTTTCCCACTCAATAATAACTAT